TATATATATGTATATATATATATTTTATGTTCCCGGGGACATAATTTGTCCAGGGAAGGTCTCCTCAATTGGGGGACTGTCCCTGAAAATTGGGGACGAATGGTCGCCCTACCCAAAACCTAACAGGGTTCCTAACCATTTCCAAGAGCAAAACTAAAAATACTTTCCCTTTAACAATCTCCTTACGGGAGCAGAATTTCTAATTTCCTCTAACAGAAATAATTACGTAACCTTTGAGTCTGGCTTATCCTGCGGGAAGACTTGCCAAGCTATGGAGGCCGGGGAGGTGCGATCCCAGGAACCTGCCAATGTTAACTTAACACTGGGATAAGCCTCAGAAATATTACATAATGGACGTGCTAAGATACATGTAAACCATCTTCCCAACCCGCAATACAGGCCGACGTCCCAGCAGCATCCATTGCCGCCAGCCTGCTGACGGCGGTTTCACAAGAGCCAGGAAACCCTAGTCTGCACCAGGTCAGTAAACTCATTTTCAGCTAATAAATCACAATTCCCTCCGCGCTGTCGCACAAACCGCTATTAACGTTAAAAAGGGGGTTTCTGTTTTAAATAGCATGACGGCTAAACTGTTAGCACTGTGGACTTGCGGTGCTGCGGTCCTGGGTTCAGTGCCAAGCAGGGCACAAGCTGTATGGAGTGGTTATGTTCTTTACATGTTTGCTTGGTTTCCACCCACAACCCATAAAAGAAAAAAGAGCATACGGGTGTTTAGGCTGGCGTCTATCCAAATTGGCCTTGGGGGTTCATTTGACAGCTAGGTAAATAATAATAATAGTGTGTGACTGTGGTGGGGCACTGTGTAGAGTGTAAGCTCTTCTGTACAGAGACTGGGGTGACTGGCTCTGTGTTCCCTGTGCAGCACTGCGGTATATGTCAGAGCTATATTAATGCATAATAATAGTGTGTGACTGTGGGGGACGGACAGACATTAGAGTGTAAGCTCCTCTGGTGCAGAGAGTAAAGTGAATGGCTCAGTGTTCTCTGTACAGCACTGCGATATATGTCAGAGCTATAAAGATGCGTTTAATCCACAGCTCCCCATGTTAATGTGACCTTGTTTACATGATAACGGCTGTGTAGATTACAGGCGCACATTATCTTTCAGATAACCATTAATACTCACTCCCTTAGGCAGTACATAATCCCCCAGCACGGTCTCCTTATCCAGAGTGCGAGTGGTGAATGGCACGGAGGGGTTTATCCTGCAAAATCAAAGATTAACATGAGATGTCATCAGAAGTGTGTGCATGTATCTGGCCCCTCGGGGTGATGGATAAGATCTATAATTAGCACATACCACTCAGTCTTCCAGTAATTAATTCCTACCAGCAATGAATTGTCATTTTCTAAGAGGGAGAAGTATGATGAATAGTAAAGTGTGGGATAGTAAAGAGTTAATAAAGGAGCATGCCGTGCACCCAAATGCCTGTGGCAATGATTCAGGACGGTGATAATATTGTGTGGTAGTTAAAGCTGAACTCCAGGCAAACAGCTAAATACAAAGATAACAGGCATATAACTGAGGCATTGTACCTGCCAAAGTATTTGTATCCCTGTCCATCCAATGCTGGGACTTACACAGCTCTGCCACACAACACAGCTCTGCTTGGCAGGGCAGGAGACCTGACTTTTCTCTGCTGCAGTTAACACGCGCTGGTCTTGTCCCTCCCCCAGCCTGTGATTGGACAGTGAAAGGGAAACCTATTCGGAGACCTACCTCATCGATTCCTTCAAGCAGGCCTTCAGGTATGGCATGTGCTTTAAGTCTTCCGCACTTGGAATCTGGTCAGGCGACAGAACGCTTTGAATTTCATCGTAGAGCTTATTCTGGATGTCTGGGCTCCGGGAAAGATTAAATATGGCCCAGAGTAAGCTGTTGGCCACCTGGACGACAAATAAATAAAACGGGCAATGTGTGAAAAGTGAAGCTAATTAGGTCACTATTAACATACCATATATATTGAATTATTCTTTGTTAACGATCACGGTGTGTCAGGAGAGAGCGGAGTGTAACACTACAAGACTTATACATATTGGAGAACATTAATCGTCTGAATGCAGAAGAAATGAAAGTTTATCAAGGAGAAGAAGGTGAGGAGGACAAAAGAGAGAAATACAAGATGAAAGGGAGAAGGAGAGAGGGAGAAAGAGAGAGAGAGAGAGAGAGAGAGAGAGAGATAGAGAGTGGCGGATAAGCAATAGAGAAAGAAAGAAAAAATTTATTGAGGGAAGGCAAAAAGGGGGAGGCGAAAGGGGAAGAGAAAGAAAAGGGAAAAGATAAGGTAAGGCAAAGAAAGGAAAGGAAAAGGCAGAAAGTAAGCGGAAGGGAAGCAAAGGAAAAGAAAAAAAGAAGGGAAGAAGGCGAAAGAGAAGGGAAGGAAAAGGCAAAAGGGAAAGAGAAGGGAATGAAAAGAAAAGAAAGGAAGAAAGGAAAATGCAAAAGGGAAAAGAAAGGAAAGGGGAAGGCAAAAGGGAAAAAGAAGGGGAAGGGAAGCAAAAGGAAAAGAAAAAAAAAGAGAAGGAGAATGCAAAAAGGAAAAAGAGAAGGGAATGAAAAGAAAGGAAAGGGAAAGGTAAAAGGGAAAGGTAAGAGAAGAATGGGGAAGGGGAAGGCAAAACGGAAAGAGAAAAGGGAAGGGAATAAGGATAGGAAATGGAAGGGAAGAAGGAAAAGCAAAGGGAAAACAAAACAATTTAAAGGGGAAGGCAAAGGGAAAGAGATGGGGAATGGAAGGAGAATTAAAGGAAAAGGAAAGGGTCAGTAGGGAAAGGCTGAAGAGAAGGAAACACAATAGTGAAGGGAAGGAAAATAAAATAAAAGGAAAGATGAAGGGAAGCAAAGGGAAGGTGTAATAAAGGGCAAAGAAAGGGGAAGGGGAAATGAAGGAAAGGGAAGGAAAGCTATGGCTCCAATAAGACCTCTGTATATTTGACATGGTTTCTTGGTCTGCAAGTCCCACTTTGAGTTACAATATCCTACCGTTTCTACGGCCCCGATCAGCATCTCGGTGATGGCGGCGTACATCTCTTTCTTGGATAGTTTGCTGTCTTTGTAGATGGTGCAGAGGAAATCCTCGTCCTCCTTACTGGAGAGCTTCATCAGTCTTCTGTCTATGTGACATTTTGCTGTGAGGGGAGACAAATGACTGTGTAAAGCCGACTCTGCACCACATATCATGGCAAGAAAGAAGGGACTGACAAGGGAGGGGAACACGCCATGTAAATCAATAGCGCAGATAAAAATGACAACATTGTCAGAGTTATTTATCAATCACTTTTGTAGTGGCAGGAAGAGAGCGGATTGATTGACAAGACGAATGTGGGCTCATTGTACTTATTACAGCAAACAATGTGCAGTGAAATGAGAGAAAGCAATTCCAGTCCAGTAGAGGAGGCGGTACAACTGTGCAAGACTGAAGGAAAAGTTATAGTTTAAGCTCTGACAGGATTAATATGGACTGTGAGCGTGGACTGGAGTAGGTTCTTTACCTGTCCTGAAGATGCTGTCCCAGGCATTGGTGTGTTTTTTCCAGATATTGGTGTTCAGGCGTTTATGTAGTTCCACTGGTGTCACCATCATCAGACCAAAGGTGCTCATCATCTAAAAGACGAAACAGAGGAGGGACACCTCAGTCTAAAAGTACATACCCATGGTCATATTAAACCTTTCATATCATTTTAACTCTTCTCTTCTCTTTCTTTGTCAGAGCACACATGGGCTTATTTACTCGGGTGATGGTTCCAAGTTGTCACCCTTGTGGTCATTACCGTACAGAAAGCTAAAAAGACCAATGGTATCAGTGGTCTGTTATCTGAGAGTAGAGAAACTGCTAATTGCCCAAGGAACCCCTAGCAATCTCTGGAGGAACCCTAGTCTGGAGGGACCCTTGATGAGAATGGCTGGTCTACAGATTGGCTACGACAAATCAAAGGGAGATTGTACCATCAGAATGCCACGAATGTTGTCATTGAGAATAATCCCCCCCTTACGGATGGCTAAAAAGATAAAAAGATCATTGGTATGAGTAGTTACCTATCTGAGAGGCAGAAGCTGATAATTGCTTAAATAACCCCTATCAACCTCTTGATGAACCCTGGTTGAGAATGGCTGGTCTACACACATTGGCTGCCAAATCTAAGGGGGGACTGTACCATCAAATTGCAATGTATGTGGTCAGTTTTACTTTTACAGATAGCAAAAATAACCAATTATATCAATGGTCACGTATAGGAGAGGCAGAAGCTGCTAATTGCTCAAGGCATCTCTAGAAACCTTTGGAGGAACCCTAGGATTCCATAGAACCCTAGCTTACAATGGCTGGCCTACACATCGGCTGCCAAATCTAAGGGAGACTGCACCAGCAGAATGCGATATTTGTGGCCAGCATTAGCCTTGTGGTCATTAAGAAGAATCCATTCCCCCTTTACACATAGCTAAAAAGACCAATGGTATCAATGATCATAAATCGGAGAGGCAGAAACTGCTAATTGCTCAAGGAACCTCTAGCAACCTTTAGGGGAGCCCTAGGAATCCATAGAATTCTTGTTGACAATAGCAGGTCTACACATTGGCTTTAACATGTAAGGTAGATTGTACCAAATACTGGTGGTACAATCTCCCTTTTCCTTGTGGTTATTAGGAAGACCCCTTCAATCCTTACAGATAGCTACCATTTATTATTATTATTATTATACAGGATTTATATAGCGCCAATAGTTTGCACAGCGCTTTACAATATAAGGAAGACATTACAGTCACAATACAATTTAAGACAAGATGGTAAGGAGGGCCCTGCCCCTGAGGGCTTACAATCTAAAAGGGAGGGGCAAGTGATACATGAGGAGGTAGCTGTGTGGGGATGATTGTTTGAGAAAGTGATTGTTCAGTGGTTAGGGTGAGGTGGGATAGGCTTCCCTGAAGAGATGAGTCTTAAGGGATCGCCTAAAGGCAGTCAGTGTGGGAGATAGACGGACAGGTTGGGGTAGAGAGTTCCATAGAATGGGAGACACTCTAGTGAAGTCCTGGAGGCGAGCATGGGAGGAGTTGATGACGGAGCTGGAAAGCAGGAGGTCTTGTGAAGAGCGGAGGGGACGCTTAGGGTAATACTTTGAGACCAGGTTGGAGATATAGTCGGGGCCAGAGTTGTGGATGGCTTTGTACGCGGTTGTTAATATTTTGAATTTTATCCTTTGGGCTATAGGAAGCCAGTGCAGGGATTGACAGAGGGGGGTTGCAGACACTGAGCGGTTGGTTAGGTGGATGAGTCTAGCAGCTGCATTCATGATAGACTGAAGGGGGGATAGCCTGTGTAGAGGTAGGCCAATGAGGAGGGAGTTGCAATAGTCAAGACGAGAGATAACAAGGGAGTGGATGAGTAATTTTGCGGTTTCTTTGGTGAGGAAGGGGCGTATTTTGGAGATGTTACGAAGGTGAAGGCGGCAGGATTTGGATAGTGATTGGATGTGGGGAAGAAAGGTGAGGTCCGAGTCAAGGATGACACCTAGGACCTTGGCATGGGGGGAGGGCTGGATAGTTGTGTTAAAAATCTCAAGGGAAAAGTTGGGGGAAGGTGCACGGGCAGGAGGAAATATCAAGAGCTCAGTTTTACCAATGACCAATAGTGGCCACTTATCTGAGAGGCAGAAACTACTAATTGCTCAAGGAGCCCCTAGCAACCTCTGAAGGAACCCTAGCCGAGAATGGCTGGTCTACACATTGCACCATCGGAATGTGACGTATGTGGCCAGCTTTACCCATGTGGTCTTTGAGAATAACCCCCCACCACCACCCCCTTACATATAGTTAAAAAGAACACTGCCATCAGTGGTCACTTAGCTCTGGAGGAACCCTGGGATTACATGGAACCCTGGCTGAGAATAGCTGGTCTACACATTGGCTGCCAAATCTAAAGGAGACATGCGACGTATGTGGCCAGCTTTACAGAGAATGAAAACCAGAACAAGTGAATCAAACATGAATCCATAAAGTCAAGTAGGTTAAGAGAATAGTTTACCCTGTGCTCTCCTGGAGCTCCAGACCTGAGTCTTTTGTGCTCAATCTTAGAGTCAACCTC